AATTACTTCAATTCCCTTTTACTTGTGTGTTGCGCCCCTTGGAGGCATCTTATTTGTGTCCAAACTGTAATCTTCATATTCAATAAACACCCATTTTTAGGACTTTGTTCCAAGATGTTTGTTCCTTACACAATCGTCTGATCCATTTTTAATTGTTAGCGAGCAAAAACCCGCGAAACAATCTTCAAGACAATTTGTTGCTTCAAGAAATAGATTCTGCGATTCCGTCCCCAATTCGCGAAGTGTAATCGATATGTGAGGGATGCATCGTAAAAGGCTTGGACAAATATGAGGCGAACTACTCCCCCTTCCAAGCTAGCCAAACATCGTTATTAAGGCACATGTGAACAAACATTTAACGCATGACTTTAAAGCCAATGAGCGCATAAGACGTAAGTTGACGAATAAAACATGATACTTAAAATAGAATCGGTTACAAACCAGCCAATAAGAGGTCGCCACCTATTACTTATCTAATACGATCTATTTACCCCCAAAGCCTTAAGGAAAAAATATATATACTCCTGTCTAAGAGAAGAAAATCATTTAAAATCAAATATCTCCCTTTAAAATATTTATTTTCCGCTTGTTCCGATTTGTACATCACAATCGGTGAGCTTAGGAGGTGAAAACTCTAGCTAAATGAGAGGAATTTGTTGATCAGATTTCTATTATTAATAATGAGGGTGAAATGTTGATTTGCCATATGATTAACTTGAAAAAATAAAGGTATTAAGATTATGTCATCTATTTAACTATTTACAATATTATATTTGTAGCTTTTTCAGTAATAAATACTTTTTATCATCGTCTATAAAATATTATGTAAAATGTAAATGTAAATATAAATATAAAACATTGTGTACAAATTGTAAATGCAAAATTTCCCCTAAAACCAACCGTTAGCACATGGTGGGTCAGCCCTTGATTAAATTTGAATTTTTTTTTCCTCAAGGCTTAGCTCAAGGTACCAACACTTCAAGAAAGTCGCAAGATTAGTTTGCTTTATAAAGAAAAAACTTCAAGTTTGGACTTTGGAGTAACCAGCTTTAAAATTTATATTCTCAATTTAGATACAATTTATAACTTTGTTTATAAATTCAGTTAAAATCAAACATAAATTTCAACAACACATTCATAACTAAGAATTAAGCCCTAAGGGCTTAATTTCACAAGGCCCCTCACTGTAGCACAGGGCTCCACCCCAATGTATTAAAAAAAATGTAGCTCCCACCCCCCATGCGTGTTACCTGGCAGGGCCTGCCTGTAAGTGTAGCACTACTCCATAACTAATACTACACACATTCGTGAGTGCTAATCCTATTTATAAATTTGCCAGAGGCTTACGACATGATGCTTTTATTCACTCCATCTATGTCAATTGATTTTTGAAAGCAAAGCTTAAAGGCATGTTTGGAAATTGATTATAATCAGTTTCAACTTTCAATTATAGACAGGAGAAAATCCAAATCAACAGTACTTGTAAGTTCTACAAAATATGTGAATAAAAAGAAAGTGTGACCAAGATATCTTTAATATAAATACATATCAAATAAGTGCTAAATATATCTTCAGTGCTTATAAATCATGAGTCCTACAAAATTTGTGAATCCTACTAAATTTACAAATAAAAAATATATTTGATTAGATTAAAAAAAATAACTTTCCCAAAATGCACGTAACAATTCTGTTTTTTTCCCCTCGATCTGGATCAAGATTAATGTAACATGGTCAAGCAATACAATTGAGATTCTCAATCCCAGTAAAGATTTTTTTTTCCTAACTTCTCAATCCCAGTGGAAAAATGTTTTATTTTATTTTGATGTTGAAGATGAATAAACAGATATAAATAGCTAAAAATATTTCAATGAACATGTCATGAATTGCAAGACCTATCTACCCAGATTGAGAAAATGTAAAGGTCAAATATTTGGCATACCAACTCGCCCATGTGACCCTTTTAATTTGCCTATTCAACAGAAGCATAACATACACTATAAAAGGTTCTATTGTAGAATTGTTCATTCAACAGAAAACTGTACACACCAAAATAAACAATGCAAAACTTGTCATGCAGCTGTTTCCGTTGTCATTGAACTGACGATCACCAAAAACTAAAACAAGATTGTGAAACATATTTATAATTTCCAGATTGGACAATCCATCTTGCTGTTTGAATAGATAACTAAACACCCTCTAAAATTAAAGCTTTGTCGTTGATGGAGAAGTTGAACTAGAACGCTTTGAAGAAGAAGGATGATGGTTTTGACGTTTGCTACCTCTTGAAGGATTTGCAGCCGGTTGACGTGGATCAGAAGGTGCAAATCTACTTGAATTACTTCTTAGCTTCTTCTTCTCATAAACCCTATCTTCAGCTCTAATGTGCCGAACCTTTGTCTCATTCAAACCCGCCGGTAGAACACAGTTGCAGAACAAGCCTGCAAGGTTCATCAGCTACAGTATAGTTATTCAAAGCTACTAAATAAAAAGGATTCGTAATTTTGGTGACAAAATCTATAAACCACAGAGTAGGGCAAAATCCCAGAAGTTTAGTGGCAAAAATGCCCACTAAACTTCCACAAAGCGGTATGAGTTCTGTAAAAACTTTTATGGTTCAACAACAACAAACTAAATGTTGATCCTAAAAAATTTGGATTCATTGACAGATCTCTTGGGAAATCACCTTTATGATTTAAAACTCCAGAAATCAATTATGTCCTTCAAACGCACATCTGCCACTCCACCCCAAACAACTAAGGTGAATATTAATTTGGGACAGATAGATTAGCAAATCAAGTGATCCTAGTTAATCAGATCCAGATTTTGTAAGAGATAACCTAAACTTTAGTATTTTGTTGAATCAGAAGGACCACCTACTGACCTACATAAATGATAACCCAAGAACCACCTATTAATGCGTCAATCAATACGGGCTTTGGAAGCAATATGCACATCGCTCAAAGTGCCCAGATCAACAATTGTCTTAAGCACTCTGTTGGGTAAAGGGGAAAATCTACTACACCTAATGAAGCATTCTTTCAACTTTATTTCCTCACTGCTCAAAAGCAAAACGAAATAAAAATAAAAGAAAAGGCTAAAGAAGAGAATCTAATGGTGTAAAGAACAAATACAACAGAACTCTAACAATGCTAGATGTATCTTAGTTGCTAAGGTTCAGTTACTTCATGCCAAATGTTAGAATGAAACTATAAAAATCCTAAAGGCGTTCATGAAACTGACACATTCCAAAAAGATTAGGCAAAGGGATAGCATCCTGCCAAAGAAGTATAATTCAGATAAAAATAAAACAAAGAACTCAAATTCTCAGCTTGCAATAAGTAATTACCAAGATGAGCTAGTCGATTCACCCATTTCGGTATTGGTTTGCGGGTCAACCGAAGACATGCATCATTGCAGAAGTGATTGCAGTTCTTTGCAATGAGATTGTAGGTATTTCCAGAGTACTCATCTGATAGTTTCTCCATGAATGCACGGACCTCTTTGGGACCCAAATCCGTTCTTCCAACCAAGATTGATTTTCTGAACGTGAATCCAGGGCATTGCTTTGGTTCCACTTCAAATATTCCAGTTGTTGAATGTTCATGAGCACCAAATGCATATTCAATTCCATGAACTGCCATATTGAAGAAAAGAAAATTTTTGTTCTAAAATTTCTGCGTTTCAATTGAGAGAATGCTTTTTCTTCTAGCCAAACGAACATTTCACACTACCACCTCATTCATGATTAACCCAGTAAAGATTTGCTGTATTCGAATTCTTCAAAGAAGCTACTACACATTAAACAAATAACAGGGAACGCAGATATCCAAATTGACATAAATCTCTCTTCTTTTCTCAATTTCCTCAGCTAGCACTCACAGGAATAAGATTTTAAAACCAAATTCCATCGACAAACGAGAAATGAAAGCAGAGAACTACTTCAAACCCAAAATAACCAGAGAGTAAAAAAAGAGTAATAAATCAAAACCCACCTGCACCAATTAGATTCTCAAAAAGACCTGGCATCATAATTCAATTTCCATAATCTAACAAACTTATAAAGAAACAGAAAACTACAAAAATTTCCAAGCAAAACGCACACATCTGATAAATCGAAAGGGAAATTAGAGAGCTAACCTTGGACCCCAGAATGGTAGATGCCGAGTCCAAGCCAGTAAGCATACTCATTCATGGGAGTGAGATCGTACACGTTAAGGTACACCGGTACTGCACCCGTCTTCCTCTTCCGCCCCATCATTCTGCACAGCATCATATTCAACTTTTTTTTTCACACACAAATTTTCTCTCTATTTAATACGGTTAATAGATTTGGAATTGGGAATGAAGAAGACGAAGAATTAGAGGAGAAATCCCATCTCACTTTCCCTGGAATTCCGATTCCCACTTTAATCTTTATAATAATGATGAATTATTTAACAGTACCAACATTCTACTGCACCTCACTTGACGACACTTAATTTACACGCACGCGCATGATTTTATCAGATAATGCGAAAAATCCAGCCCAAATCCTAATATAGCAATAAAATTACAGTTAATAAAATAAAATTATAGGAATTAACGGCGACAGAAAGAGTTTGCGGCTCCCTAGATGCTTTTTATCGCTTGGTTGTCTTCTGAAAAAGGTTAACCGTAAGTACCAAGGATGTTTTTTCCCCCTTAAAAGCCCTTTACCTCCACTGAACTGTGGATTTCCCACAGTTACGAATTGGGATTTGGGAATCGACTATCGGGTGTTAACTACGGAAGGTAAGACGCCCCAAAAAAAGTCTCCTCACATTCTTAGTTTGGAGAATTTGCACATCCGCTCCTCATTCTATGTCACTTGTTGCACTTGAGTCTCATTCAATTTTTTCTTGCATTCAGATCTCCAAGCTATAACTTTTGGTGTAGGACCTCCTTATTTAAATTCTATCCCGTATTCCCGTATGTTGAGCTACATTTTTTTAATAAAAATAAAAAAAAAATACCAAATTTATTTCCAACCACACATTCTATCGATAAAATAATTTTACACGTAAATCTAAAAAAAATTCTATTTTTTCACCACACCTTCTCCAAAATATCACCATTACAAAAATTATTTTCGTGAAAAATGGAACTCGTGTAAAGGCTTTAATGTTCTCATCATCTCGCTAAAAATAATTGAGAGATGTGTAGGCCAACTACAGACTAGCCTAGCACGGTCTGTCCACTAGTTGGGGTTTATGAAGACGTGCCTCCATTTAAGCACATGTTTGGTAGAAATTAAAATTAAATTTTTATTATGTTTTGATAAAAGTTGATAAAATGTGTAATTAAAAAATTAAAATTAATTATTGACTTTGATTTAAATTAAAATCTCGAATAGGAGTTAACCAATTGACGAGAAGGACCGACTCTATTTGACACCACTATTAGTTCATTTAAGAAACTCGAAAATTATTAGCTTTCATTGATAACAAAAACATGAAGACATGACAAATGTAAAGATTGGTCAAATAAATTACTTCGGCAAGATCTTGTAGGTTTTTTTTTTTAAATCATGAATATGGATGAGATCTTTCTAGTATGATTCATCATCAATTCTTGATTGTATTTGTTTTTATACTTTAAAAGACAAATGGGACGTTGATAAACCATACAATGTGCTTGTGTAAGAGGAAATGATCGCATTTGTTTGCCCCGTTAAATTATAATTCAATTTTAACTCTCTTCATATAAATTACACATTCTTAAAAAAAATAAAAAATTGCACGAAAATTCAAAAATTTCCTTCATTTTTTACCACACATTTTCAAAAAATTACTATTCTAAAATCAAATTCTCTTTATAATATATAATATATTAAATATCACATCAAGTTAGAATCATTTTTTCGACGATTTTAACCATACTACAATTCAATTATTTCAATAATACATTTCTTTTTTATTTTTCAATATGTACTAAATACTACAAAATTATTGTCATGTATAAATTTCATGTTATTAATTCTCAATTAATTAACATTTACATTAATTTAGATTCAATGAATTTTGGCTTCATGAATCTTGATGTACATGAATTTAGAGTTATTATAAATAAATTTATTTCTATTTATATATCAAAGAATTTTAATTTGTGTTTAAATTCACCTATTAGCAATCAATTATTGTGTACCAAATGTAGTATAAAAATGTTGTTCATTTGTAGTATTTTATCATCACAAAAAAAAAAAATTATAGAAGTTGAGTTTTAAGATTACAATTTTATTTTCTTAAATTTCTATCATAAACTGTATTTTCTTTAGTTCGGTTGAAACTCATTAAATCCTCTCAACAAATTGATATTAAATATTACTTTTGCAATGTTTATAAAGTATTTCAAAATAACATATAATGCACGTTCAACATTAACCAATGATAGAATAATGAGGACAAACGTTCGCGAAACTTACTAGTTAAGAAACTATTTCATTCATTTTGCAAGTAATTAAGAACAATTTTAAGAAATTATCTATTTATAAAGAGCATATTTAAATTTAGTGAGAATTTTTATACACTTCAATAATCTCTCTATTTTGTCTTTTTATTTAATTTTTCTTTTATACAAAAATATTTATTAATTTCTTTTCATATTTTATTTAATATAATTTTTTTGTGTCAATTAACCAATCAATTTAAAGGTGATTTAAATAGTTCAAGAAGTAAAGTATTGAAATATGTGATTTATTAAATGTAATTATTATACATTGAAAAGTAGAGAGTAAGTTTGACTCTGCATCTTGAGGCTCCTTACTTTTAAAGAACATATTCTGCAATTTGGAGAGCATTTAAAAATTTAGAGAGTAAAAAATTTAAAGTACTCAAACGGAGTTTTTATATTTAACACTTAATACTCTACAAAAATATTTATTATTTTTTCTTATCTTTAATTTTCAACCCCCTTTCCTCCAAATTATTATATTATTTTTCTATTGAAAATTGAAATATTTTGAATTCATTTAATTATAGATAAAGAGTTCCCTAAATTAAAAAATGTTAATTTAAAAAATCTCTTATTGCATAATTTTAAGGNTTGATAAAGAGTTCTCTAAATTAAAAAATGTTAATTTAAATAATCTCTTATTGCATAATTTTAAGGTCGATTCTTTAAAATAGAGAACATCATTCGTTTAAAGATTCTTTTGGAGATGTTTTAAATTTGAAAAGTTAAATTTACTCTCTATTTAAAAAAAAAATTAGAATTTTAAAATAGACTCTTTTGGGACTCATTTTTAAGTATCGTCTCTCTAAAATAAAGAACATTTTTTATTTAGGGTGTCTCTTGCAATTCTTAGAAAGAAATAAGTAAAAAAGCTTCAAAAAGCATTTGACTATCAAGTAAAATGTGATTTATATGTGAATTCTATAGTTTAGACAATATCTTTATTATAAATTAGTAACACATAACACTTGAAAATTAAAAGTAATAAATGTTGATCTTTTGGAGAGTCGTCTCGAAAACGTTGTTTTAAAGTCGTGTAACCATTCTCATAATTTAGGTATCGGGGCTACAAGATTTTAAGATAAAATTCATAAAGTTTATAGTCGATTCTTCATATATGGACACAATCGTATGGAGAGAAAGAATGAGCATTTATCGATTCACGAACATACGAATTAATTGATTACTCAAATGCGTTGCCAGCTGAATTAATTGATTACTTTCGTTATACTATGCCTAATAACAAATCAGTTAAGAAAAGTTCAGAAGATGTAATTGCATTCTGACGAAATAACGAAAGTCGATGACGAAT